TTCAGAATCATTTAGTACCAAGAGTTAACTGCCATTAAATTTACCTCTTTCGGACATAAAAATAAATTACTTATTCAATGAAACCGCATGTAATTTCGTTGGTCACTTGTGCGTTGCGCAGTCGACTGACTGGCGAGTAGATTCTACCCCCAGGGATGAAGGGGGAACTGGAGTTTTTTCAGGGGAGTTCAGCCAACAGTAGAGAATCTGATTATGTCTTACCTTTCCTTGCGTGATGAAGCAGCGTCATTTTTGTTTGCGTGGTCCCGTTCGTGGGGTGCATGGTAAAGAAGTCACGTAATGTTGGTAGTATAATTATCTGTAACACGAATTACATATCAATAAATATCCGAAATAAATCAGTTAAATAATAACAATAATAATAATAATCCTTTGGTGAAGGATATTATTTGAAATGTCGTATAATCGACTTCTCAAAGCACAGCCCACTTTCTCTGTGAAACCCGAAGGTTCATCATCGTATACATAAAAGCCCGCAACCGGACTCCATCCTGAGCTACCTGCATCCAATAATAATGAACATAAATAGTAAGTCCACATATTTAAGTCTACTTAAGAGGCCCACAAGACTACTAAATCGGGTTTGATACTTTAATGCGAAGTTCCATAAAAATGTAACCTCAGCTCGAGATTGAGGTGACTGACTAGCCTTAAGTTCTGCCCGCCTTTGATTTCAGATAAAAATTATCCTATGCAGAAGGCCCCCAAAAACGTGTATACACAGTAGCAACTTTGGCGGCGTCTTGTCAGTCAGTTGCTGACAGCTGTCAACTGTGACACCTAAACTATATTTGTCAATTCATTAAGTGCCAAAGCTGACGTAAGTAATGGTTTAATTTATTAAAATGTCTATTTAATTCACTAAATGTGTATATACATTTTTGGGACTTTATGTATATTTATTCGTCCGTTCATTTCATACATTGATAAGCTTAAGAGGTCCCTGCTGCCTCCGTCATCCGGGCGACGACTAGCTCATCTTCAGAATCGCCGTCGTGAAAACTTAAAATCCTACTGTATTCCAGATATTTAAACGTTGAGGCTCGTTCTACTGTGCCCTAATTTATTATAACATTTCTTGTTTCTATTCACGTCCGTGTGTTATCTATGTCCGCACAGTCTATACAGTGTCATTAAATAAGGAACAAAATTAGGCGATTTCTGACATAGGCCTATTATTATTATTATTGTAATTATAACAATCTACAAGCCATGCGGTCGCCATGAACACCTCAAAGCAACTGCTCCCAAAGTACTTGTTAAGAACTGAAAACCTCGTGCCCCCATTCATCGCATATTTCTTCCTTCTCACAGTCGTCTTTTGTTTTCATGATTTCTCCGCTCACTGCCATCCGGCTTCTATTTCGTAGTTTTTCATTGTCTTAGTGACAATCCGCATCCTTCCTCCTTCCGTCTCTCGTACTTTCTACTTCTCATTCATATTTCTATCCCTGGCCAAGTCTCTGTGAATTAAGAACGGCAGTTAACGCGGCTGATTGCCCGAGAAGATTTTATTGATTGTATACTCGCCGCGAAAGTCTCAAATCCTATATGGTTAATAAAATATTAACGGAGTTACAAACACGTTAACGAAACTTCAACTGAAGTTGTAGATCGGATCGCTGGAAGACGGACGCTTCAGATGAACCTGAATCAGGATTTATCAAGTCACTGCAAGAAATAAACGCGTGTGGCAGATATAATTCACAATTAAAGTCCTTCTTTAATGGAAGTATTGCTTTAGATATTAACATTTTTCACGATTTCCCCTCTTTTCATACTTCAGTATCCACGAATTAGACTTCTAATTACTTCTGGAACATACTACTGATATTAAGTAAGGTTTCCTGGATGGATGACTGATCTACATACAGCAAAAATATCAAGAAAGAACCTCAAGGGGATATGATCTAGCGATCTAAAACATGAAGGTATATTAAATAAGCTCAAATTCGTAGGGCAATGACACTTTCAAGAAGTTCAACTAAACAGTTTTTTAATTCAAATTCTACAAACACAAAGCGTATTTATTACAACGACCAATCGATTATGAAAATAATCGGTTTATTCTGGGATTCATACGTAACCCATAACTCACTATGGACAAAATTTCAGAGTTACAGAGTGTTAAAGCATGAGATACATATAATTACCACTCCAATTTAAATAATTAAGCTACGTAGCTGCTGGGAACAGTAAAACAAAGACTTAAAAAAACATAACTCATTGCTGATATATACTACTTTACTGAGTTACCCGGTTTGTGTCATGCACACGGAGTGTCTAAAATGAACTCTGTCATGTCTACGTGACGCGCGGTTTAAGAGTAAAGATTTTACTTCGTATGCTATTTGGAAGATATCTCTAATGATATTCAAGGTTACAAAAGCATGACGTGTAGAGATTACCATTTTGTAGTATGCGGAGTAGAGCCATAAGCCACTTTTGGCCTTATTTTTTTTGTCTTAAAAGATTATTAGCGCAATTATTAATACAACGGATGTGACGCAAAGTTTAAGCCGACAGCTTCAGAACTTTTTTTTATGAGCAACTATTGATTTCTTAGTCACTGTCTTTGTTTTTAGTACCTTTTTGTCCCCCTTTCCGGTTTACTTGTGTTTCTCCGTGTTTTGTTCTGCTTTCATGTTCTATGAGATTCCTTTATTTCTCTTACCTATTTATCTCTTTCATCCTTAGACTTGTTCGTGCTGAGTTACAACAAAGACTGTGTAGAATATGAATGATTTCGTGCGTTATTTCAAAGGGTTTGTTCAAGAAATTTTCCAGGTGTTAACAGGTTAAATTGGAATAAAACGATCTTAAAACACAGCACGTGTCATCAGATGTTAAGCAAACATAACTGTGGATCTGAACGGCTTTAGCGGCACTCAAAAAAAGCTTCCGTTTAATCGTTAGCTCATTACCGTGTCCAGTACTACTTTGCTAACTAACTCCTGCACCAGGTTTCATTTTTGAAAAGCTGAAATGATTTCAGCTGATCAAGGACTTTATCGGTTTATTCAGAACCCGCCATTTGTCTGTATCCTAAGCCACGCAAATGGAGGAATCCTAAGATTTTACGTATTTAAGATCAGTTTTAATATTATCTTTCCATCAACGCCTTGATATTAAAAACTATCTTTTTATTTCGTGTTTTCTGTCTAAAATGTATACTTTTTTCATCTCTCTTGATCAACCTTATCAGTGGTCTCTCTCCCGAACCAATTAAACTCCATAAAAAAAACCCAAAGCCATAATTTTTTAAGACTAATTTTAAAATTGTCTTCCATTTATGTCTAGGTCTCCCAGGTAACATCTTTCACTGCACCCTATGATAGAATCTTATAGAATTATGAATATATGCAAAAGCAGGTATGGAATCTCGTCCATGACTGTACTTAACAAGCTGTGGAGGGAAACTATTTTCATATCTTTGTCACGTCTTAATTAAATTGGGTTTATTATCAAGTACATAGAATTACACAAGCCTTTGTGCGCGTTACAAGATTTTGTGGAACATTGCTCTTGGGAAAGGGGGGGGGGTTATATAAACAGAGACCTACATACGGAAGCAAACACGAATATTTTTAGACGAGGAAGCGCGTACAGGTTGGCTAAATTTCATGAAACTATTAAAGAAAAAGAGCATTAAAGCAGTAATCTTGCTGCTACCCACTACAGTTCCTTCTGCCTTCGTTGTTCGATGCAGTAGGTTCTTAAAGTCGGTTTAGCTCTGTCGGAAAAATGACTCGCTACTGACCGAACATCCGTGTGGTGGATTTCCGGTAGGAGATATTTTTCTACATCACACTTCCGGACCAGATCTGGAACCCCCTGGAACCGAGGGCTCTTCCCAAGGAGGTACAGCATACAACGACTGAACCTGGATAGATCACCTCATTTAGGATCGAAGTTCAGAATTCATGGATCTTTATCTCCTTTTCCCGTACAGGACAAGTCCTGGTGCTCATGTTCAGGGACAATTCTATTTTATTTCACAGCTATTATTATATAAAAATTTTTAAAAAGAATATTTAGACCCAAGCAAAACTAATGTTTTCTCAGCGGTAAATATTTTATAAAAATTTGTGATCTGTAAGTCAGGAGTAGATCCGATATTCATACATGGTAGTCATATAATTAAAAAAGTCTATTAATTTAAGAATTGAAATCATCCATAAACGATATTCTGCAAAACCAAAACACAGGTCGCAAGGTAATATTAAAATTAATATTAATTACATCTGTTAGGTTGGTATTGACTTCACTGAACTTGCCAAGGACACGGTTCATTTGCGCAGTCTAGAACTAGGGTTAATAGACTTAATTTTTCTTATGTGACAAAATACTGTATGTTAATAAATAATTAAGTCATAATTCCTTGTACTACTATAGTTATAACATGGTATGAAAAAATATTTGGTACCACTCGGCTGTTTTCTAACAACAAACTTCTTTTTACGTAAACTGACAACAAGGATTCAAGATTGGATATACATCGTCTTAGATACTTGGCAAAATCTGAACCCAAAAAGATCTATATATAACGAATAATCGATATTTTCAGTAACTATACTTTTCAAAAGTTTAATTTTACAATATAACTAAACAATTAGAAGTGTATAATTTCAATTTTCCACGGCGTTGAGTCCAAAAATCAGCTGTCTTTTGTGTTTCACTCATCGTCCTGATAATGGACTCAGCAAGGACCTCGGAAACGTTGTTAAACTTCTACCAGAGTGCACGACACTACAATCCAGAAGACAGACACCTTCTTAATTATAAGTGTTTTAACTTTTCACAGCCATTCAATTCTCATTTATTTGTAAAACGTTTAATGAAAATTTATCTTTTCGTAACCTCACTTATTTCTAATTAGGTAATGTGTATGTACTGCTCCATAGTAATATTGTCTTACTTAAGCCAATAAGGCATCATACACCCAGAGTTATAGGCCACTTATGTATATATTACACAAAGTCTTCAGTTCTTGACTGCAATAGCGCATAAATTTCTGCCCCCTAAATCACTCTCTTGAGAGAATATCACAGTATTACTACAGACTATATACAAGAAGATCAAAATATTCCTATATAAAGTCTTCAAATTGAATTTATTATCCCATAAACTAATACATTTCAAACAGTAAACAAAACACATACAAGACAATGAATACGTATCTTATAACAAGAGCAGACTAGGATAAATGCAAATGTGAAGTGTAGACAGCAAAGTAATGTGAAAAGGAAAACCTAACCTCAATTCTACATAACACTGCTTGCTTTTAGGGTGTTGGGA